GTGTTTTTTTATTTAAAAAAAAAAAATGTGGGCATTTTGGTACGAATGAAATAAAATTATACTACAATAGTGTTCTAACTTTTTAACAATATAAATCGCTTCCTCTAAACAAACTTGACTTGAGTTCACTCAATCTTGTGAAATCATTGAAAGAAATTAAGATCTCTGAAGTTAAAAAATACAAATATCATGTAAGATTTTGTTAAAGTGTGACCTAAATAGATAACCTATTTTTTTGTGTGAGATAGTCAAATCATGAGTAATGTTCACCTATTCACGGGGCACATGTTAATATGTCCACCGTTTATGTGACATTCACATATTAGTGGTGTAGTTTTTTTAACATATTAATATCACCAATTTGTGAATGCCACATAAGCGGTGGACATATTAACATGTGCCCACCGTGGTATGCAATTGATATGCGACAGTTACGCGACAGTTTTTCGCATAACCTTCGCATATGGACAATTATGCGATGAATATGCGACAGTTTTCATATAACCTTCGCACTTTTTGGAGTGAAAAACTTAGCTTTTTGTTGAGCGGTGTGAAAAACTTAATGTGTCTTTGTTATGGGGTGAAAAAAGATTTTTTTCCCAATAAAAAATATGCTACTATATATGCAATTTTTTATTTTTTATGCAATTTTTTATTTTTTGGTGAGTGCATTGGCCAATTTTCTCATGTTTTAAATTAGCTAAATATTTAAATAACAAAGTTTTTATTTTTATTTATTATATGAAATATAATATATGATTAAAAGTATTTATAAATTAAATATCGATTCAACCAGTGAACCATTAAACGAGTAGCTTGACCTGTTCGATCACCATTTCAATTTTGGAGAACCTTGGTTTATTATATTATGAAACTTGATAATAAATATTGTACACTTGCAGGTATGACTGTTTACAATCAAGTTAATTTAGCTGACTTATTCGCTAAAAAAAATGTAATAGCTATTCACACATAAAACATAATCAAGACCTAAAAATATTTGTTCCTGTTTTTTAAAATCCACGTACACAGCAACTGGTTTTTTTAAAAAATAAAATAAAATAAATTGTTACTAGCTTCTATTTTTTTAAAATGTAATGTTGATTTCAAAACGACACTTGTTATCAATACGATAGAATACTTATTTTTAACTCATTCTAATTAATCTATCTATACTTATATTAAAAGCCATACTATTTACTAAAAATAGTAGCAAGAAAAGTCAACTCACATTTAATGCATACTTTATTTGGAAATTTTTTACTATATGCATTAATTGTTTGCATATACACATTTCCTATTCAAATATAATCAACAAAATTATTTCCTTAAATAATTTTATTAACTTCTGCAATAATTTTAATTATATGTATTATAATTCATATTTGACGATAATATTTTTTAATTTTTATTTGAGTATGTAAAAAATATATTTTTTTAAATTAATATTTTATTTATCATTTAAGAGATAATGATCACATCATTAAATGATGTTATTGATGGCTAGATAATAAATTTAAATACATTAGTTATTTTTTAAAATTTTGACATGTTATTTATTTGTATATCTATACTTATTATATAAGGTATTCTATTTACCAAATTTAGTAGATTGAAAAGTCAACGTAATTAATACATTGCTATTTCTCTCCAGAATTTTATTTAGTTATTTTATTTATTTATCTTATATCCCATAAAATCAGTTTAAGAAAAAAATCCCATAACATCTGACAAGTAAAAAAAAAGACGTAAATCTTTACTAAAATAAAAAAGACTTTATTTATTTGTCTTATTCCATATTAACATCGATTTTGTCAAAACAAAATCCATAAAATCAGTGAAGTCAAAATTTGTACGTAAAGTCTATCTATACTTAAAAAAAGTCAGATTCAAAATTCTTTATCTAATTCCTTCTTTTTCTTATCTAATTCCTTCTTTTCCTTATCCAATTCCTTTTTATTATCTAATTGTATGAAAATCTGTTCTGATTTTGTTCGATCCTCTAATTGTATTTATATTATATTCCATAAAATATGTTCAACAAAAAAAATCTCATAACATCCGATAAGTAAAAAAATAAAGTACGTAAAATCTTTACTAAAATAAAAAAAGGTTTTATTTATTATCTAATTGTATGGAAATCTGTTCTGATTTTATGGTACGTACTACAAATTGTGCACCCATGTTCAGGAGCTACTTAACGGACAAGCTATGTGGAAATGACTCATTTAGTGCTTCTGTCCCGTGCATACGGTATGTATTTTTATTACACATACTAGAAAATTGTGCACCCGTGCATCGCACGAGCTCTGTACTAATAAATGACATTAAAATTGTGCACCCTGTGCATCACCCGTGTTCACATTTTGGCCTATTACAGGTCACGTATTATATATATCCCGTACATATTTTTTTTATAATTCATTTATATAATTATAAGACTCGATAAATGACCTTAAAATTGTACACCCCGTGCATCGCACGGGCTCTGTACTAGTACTTATATTAAAGGCTATACCATTTACTAAATTTAGTAAGTAGAATAGTCAAAGCAATTAATGCTTTTCCATTTTTATCATTTGAATATTATATTTTATATTTATTTATTTCAAATCTAATCATTAGTTAATGCTTTTAAATGAGTTGAAAAGTCAGCACATTTTTTGGTGTTTGATTTTTAAATCCGTGCATTTAGGAATCTTCCAAACTATTTTCATAAAAAATTTGATTTTAAAATCTGTGCCTTCGTCCAAACTATTTTAATAAAAATTTGATTTTTAAATCCATGCACTTGGGAACTTTCCAAACTATTTTCATGAAAAAAATATTAATCAGATTTCTTTGTTGTTAAAATAAAATCTCAAAAAAATATAAATCTGATTTCTTAATTAGTTAGAGATTACTTGCCATTCTCTCTCAGCAGAAAATAAAACACGTAATACAAATCTCATTTGATTTACTTGCCATTCTCTCTCCATCTCTACATATAATTCAATAATATAATGTAATTACGAATACGAATTATAAATATCCCAATCTCCCAATAGCGAATCAACTCTCCTGAAAAAAAAAAAAAGCAAAAACAGATCAATTTCATCGATAAAAATGAATCAAGGTTTCGGTTTGATCGAACAAGTCAATAGGTCTACTAGACCAATGCTGAAAGTTCGTATTGTACGAATGTTCTTCCAAGATTGGGGCAGTACATATAAATCATATCTTGAATTGGTTCTACATGACAAAACTGTAAGCCCCCAATAATTTTTACTAATTTTCGTACATCATTTATTTTATGTTATATTTGTTTTTCGAACTATAAAATATTTTTTCGTGTATATATATATATATATTTGTTATTTTCGTATATTTTTTAGTATTATTTTTTGATGTTAAAACCAAAAATTTTTTAATTGATATCGTTTTCTTTCGTATATGTTCAGGGAAATCGTATAACAGCATGGCTACGGGCGGTCAACTTGACTGCCTTTAAGGAAAGGAACTTTGAAGAGGGCATGGTAATTTGTATAAGAAATTATCAAGTCGAAAGCAATTTAGGGAAATATCGTTCTACTTCTGGAGATTTTAAGATCCTTCTGCATGGGAGCACAATGTTTTCGAAGTGCAAGGATGAATTTCCTATTTTTCGATTTCAATTCAAAGACTTTGCAACTTTGCAACATGTCAATCAAATTGATGAGTCCAAGTTATTCGGTAAGATTATTTTACGATTTTTCTAATTAAATGTCTTTTATTAAAACTAATTAAATTATAACATAACGACTTTTTTATTGTAGATGTTATCGGATTAGTCGTTGATATCCAAAGTGTGCAAGAGAAACAAGTAAAAACTGGCGATACCCAATTGGCTGCCTTCATTCTAATGGATCTTAAGTAATTTTTTTTTTATATATAGATTTTTGGCTAGGATGAACGTTTTTTAATTTTTTTAATTTGATATTTTAATGCAGTGAAAACTTTATCAACTGCACGGTTTGGGGTGAATATGTCGATCAACTTTTGGCTTTCGAGAGCCATTACGAAGAAACTGGACAACCGTGGGTACTAATTATGCAACTTGTGCGTTCTAGGGAATACCTACATAAGTATAGATTTCAATTTACTATATTTCAATTATTATAAGTACTATATTACTTTTGAATTATATTAATCGAATTAGTTTAATTACTTAGTTTAAATGTTCAACACATACAATTTTATTGTTCATCGAATTAGTTTATTTTACGAATATTATAAAGTACCCACGGTTTTTTTTGAATTATTTCAATTATTTAATTAAAAATTTAGTCCAATAATATTTTTATCATTCTTAATGTGTTGTTTAGTTATTTTTGAATTAAAGGGTTTAATTATTTTAATTAAATGTTATACACAAATAATTTCATTTACCTTTTCAATCCATGAAGTATTTATTTGAACACATTCTATTTACTTTTTTTTTCTATATTTTCGTATATATATGTTTTGTTATTTTCGTACATATATTTTCGTGTATTATATTTTTAACATATTTTCGTACATATATAAATTATAATTTTTATCCTTTTTTCGAATTAAAAGGTTTAATTATATATATATTTTTGTTATTTTTGTATATATATATATTTATATTATTATATCATATTTTCGAATTAAAGGGTTTAATTATTACTTATTAAATTTTAATGTTAAACACAAATAATTTAATTTACCTTTTCAATCCGTGAAGTATTTTTTTAACACATTCTTTTTATTTTTTATATATTTTCGTATATATATAATTATCGCATATGTCTATATATATATATATATATGTATATATATATATATATATATTATATATACATTTTTGTTATTTTCGAATATATATATATATATTATATGTTTTTGTTATTTTCATATATATATATATATATATATATATATATTTGTTAATTTTGTATATATATATATAATACTTAACATGAAATTTTTTATATGTTTGTAGAAAAGGTACAGGTGACTACTTCATTAAATGTTACCAAGTTGATCGCCCATGACTCTGTTGATGAGATCCGTGAGTTTTGGAGAAGGTAAAATTATATATTTTGGACAATTTCAAATTTTTATAATACAATTTTTATTATTGTATATTTATATATCATACATATCATATTTTGTATCTTCTGTTTTAAATCTTTAATTAACTTATTTTTTTTAAACTAATAGGTACTCCACAAGCAACTTGAAGGTGAAAAAATACACTTCAAATTCAAAAACCGTCGTCAAGACGGAACTAGATGAGTTGCTGTCGGGTGAGAAACAAGTTTCCTCGGTGTTTGCTTTGTTCGAAACTAAAGAGGTATATATATTTTATAAGTCATGTTTGCTAAACTTTATTTGAATATACATGTTTGAACTTTATTTTGAGTTGCTAATTACTTGTGGATTTTAATGAAGGCCAAGACCATGTGGGTATGCGCTTTGATTGACTCGATTGTGGACAACTGGTGGTATTTTGCTTGCCGAAGTTGTAGCAGCAAAATGATTAATTCAGACAATGGCTTCAAGTGTCCCAAATGCTCAAAAGAAGTCGGGAAGTTTAGGTATTTCTACATCAAGTCAATGGTTGACTTTACTTTTGTTGATAGATTTTACATGTTAATTTATTTTTTTGTTAAATATTAGGTACAAGATGAACTTGCTCATATCGGATGCTACTGCTAATGGGACTTTTGTTTGTTGGGACAAAGAGTCAGAAATTCTTATTGGCAAACCATGCCATGCTTTGAGATCTGAATCTATGCGCAAGGTTATGTTTCCATCCCATGTTTTTTAAATTTAAGAACTTTAAATTATGTATACTAACCTTTCAAAGCTTTTTTTTTATATAGAATGCTGATGAAAACTATGAGTTGCCGCAAGAGATTACAAGGTTGATTGGACGGTCTTTTCTATTTAAAGTCCGCATTCAGCTGCATAAGCAAGGCTACAACCATACATCCTCTTTTAGTGTTTGTAGGGTGATAATTGACAAGGATGTGGTTTCTAAATACAATCAACTGATTGTTCAGCCTGAGGTAAATTTTTTAAAGTTTTTTTGAGACAACTCGATTAAAAATTATTTTTTTTGCATGTTGCTTACGTTATTCATGTTCCTTCTTACAGGTTTCAGACTATTTTACCATGCTACAGAGTAATGACAACACCTATTGGGTGGTAATATATTTTCTTCTTCAACAATTAAATGATTAAAATTTCCTAAATTTTACTATATTATTATTTATTTATGTAATATGTCATTATATTATTCAGGATGATGATGGTGATGAGGAGGTTTCTACACCTCTAAAGAGGGCAAAGGAAATAGAGAGGTTTGGTGATTCATCTGCAAAGCGAAACTTGAGTGAAACATTTGAAAACGAGGATCCTAAACTCATGTTGTCTACAACAACTGGTAAAGGAAAGGCCAAAGTGTGATGATGGCTCTCTTATGAAAGAAGATGAAAAGGATGAAGAAGCATGACTAGAAGCTTATTATTAGTTATGGAATATTATGAGGAGTTTTTATTCTTATACTTATTAGACAATGATTATGTTTTAATTTTTATTTTGCTTTTTAGTTCTAAAAACTTGGTTTCATTGTTCTTTTTATGTTTTCAGAACATAGTTTCATTATTTTCTTGAATAAGTAACTTGGTTTCATTATTATCATTACACATGTATTATCAATTTTTATATTTTGATATAGATTGCACAGAAACAACATAAACCTATATATTAAATCACTACAGAAATATTTTGTCCACTGCAAACACACTACAATTAAAAAAACTAATTCTTAGAATCAGTTTGTTAAAATGAAAACGAATACTGGAAATTCATTTATTTTTTTTATCACCAGTACAAAATCTAAAACAGTTTAAGCAGCGAATTTTGTTTCATAAAAATCAGAAAATTGTTTATTCATAATCAAAAAACAGTTTAAGCATGATAATCATATGCTTATTATAAATTCGAAAAAAAACAAATATAAACACATATGATATTTTTCATTTCCACCACATAATTATAAATTACTTTGTTTCATAAAAATCAGAAAACAGTTTATTCATAAGTAGACAATAGTTTATGCATATACATAATCAGAAAACTGTTTAAGCATAATATTCATATGGTTATTATAAATTAAATTAAATATACACACATAAGATATTTTTCAATTCCAACACGTAATTATAGATTAATGTTTTTTCGAACAAATAAAGCTACTACTAATTTTAAATAAGTCGTTCTTTTTATTTGTATAAGCAGATATATTTCTTTCACACGTGATAATTTAGACGGAAAAAATATAAATATTTAATTCATGATTCAGTTACCTTAATATATCTGATTTGTTTCTCATATATATCCATTATAATCCGATAATGATAAGAGATTTTAATATCTTACGTGATCTTTTATATATACCCGCAGATTTTAACAGATCTTAACAAAAACAAAATTGATATATATATATATACATATATCATCAATCATTCTAGGTCATTATTCTTTCAACAACACCGCAGAAGAAGGTTATGTTTATGTTTATAAATATATCTACTTCAATCTCGGTTTCAATTAATGTCAAAGCATAATCAATAATTTTTTTTTTCAACAGCCGTAGAATATGAAAAATCAGGATGCAGATAGAAGACCTTGCAACAGAGATGCAACAATTAGATGCCAAACAGATGAAAACACAGGCAGTCAGAGATACGGATACACAGATCGCGCAAAAGAAGTTAATCTTACACCACTAACTGTAGACCATAATCCAGGTAATACTCATACCTTAGGTTTTTTTTATAACATTACTACGTAGAAGTTTTAAATTGATTATTACCTTCTCTGTTTCCTTTACTTTTCAAAGTGTTGTAGCATATTCGATTCAGCATAGTCATGTCAATTGGATAGATGGAACTCCATGTACATGCACCAAAACAATAAACAATTGATTAGTGTTTCTAAAATGAATACTAAATACAATTAGTAATCTGTCATTTGGAATATGTTTGTACCTTTCTTTTGTGCTTATACACACATTGCAGTGGTCCTGTTGTATCCTTGCCTTCGTTGAGTTTACATGCATACAGTAATATAACGCAAGTTTATCAATCTGAGAACCCAGTGTTTATATGTTTAAAAGTAACATGTCAATTCTGTATTTTTAACTATTTTTTCAGATTTTTGGTAATAACACTAAAAAATATAAGATAATCTAAAAGCGAAATTCGATATAGCCAAATAATTAAAAAGATATTAACATGTAAACATAACTGTAATTGTTTTCATCAGATACAAAAACATATTTCGGTAAATATTTGTAAAATGGATAGGTACATACCTCTTTAGTATTCCCAGTTTGATGTTTGCACCGATGTGTAGACCGAAGTTAGCAGAAGCATCCAATCCGATAAGAGCAGAAAATCTAACTAAAAGTCTTCAAATCTATTTTCAAAAAAAAAAAAAAATAATTTATAGGCCTTGACTTTGATCCACCCATTTCTGCACTCAATCTCTAACAAATTATCGATTGAACGATAGTTGTAATTGCAAGACGAAATTCGATTGCAGAGAAATGTTAGAGTTAGAGAGAGTGCGACGGTGAATCTATGAAACCCTTCTTTTTCGGGTTTTTTTCCTTTTATAATGCACGTTAACGAATACATCCCGTCCGATTATGCGGTCATTTGTTGACCGTCCGATAAAAGCTTATCAGTTTTACTTGGTATTTTGTTTTAAATTTGGCAGAATTATTTGGACTGAATTGGGTTGATTTAATATTTACTCATTTGGGCTGAATCTATTAGCACCAGTCCAATTCTCAGTTGTTTTATTTCTTAAGTTGGGCTGAATTGTTTATGAATATCATGATATTAATTTTCTTTTTGGAAAATTTATCACATCTATGTTAAATTTTAATGCACTGTTTTATTATTTTTAAATTTGTGTACATTTGATATACATATAAAAAAAATAATTATTAATATATATTGATCAACTTTTTACTTTCATTTGAGTTGAATTGTTTGTAAATGAAAATAAATTTATAGTAATTTTTTTACTTGCAGGAAACAAAAGGAATAGTCATCTCAAACGTATGCGTACTTCACATACAAATATTCAAACAAGACGTGATGTTTTTCAGTCTTCACAAAATACGCCGTTATCTAATATCACTAATGGTAATTACATATAAAAAACAATTACGATTTTTTTATTTATAAATTTACTTATATTGTTTTTTTTCTTATTTCTTTTAACTTTTCATTGCAGTTTTCGGACCTACAGAATCATGCAAGAGAGCGAATAATATGTATTCCAACATTTGGAGTATGTTTTATTTATCCTATTACAATTAGAAATTAAAGCTTATTTGTTCTTACCAACAAATATATTTAAAAATTTTATTTACACTGCAGATACTATACAATCATCCCATGGTCCCAGTGTTACTTTGGCTACGCAACATAAAACCTCATTTTCGTCCAAAACAAATTTTGGAAGAGAAAAACATGTGTTATTGATCTCACAAGTGATGAAGAGCCAGAATTAAGAAATATTAGTGAAATACATTTTGGTCAATCAAGTACTGGTGTTGTACTTCAAAGTCATGTTTTTTATTCACAATTCGCTCTAAACGTTTCTATCATAAGACCATTTAATAATTGTTTTATTAATTAAATATACAATGTAGGTGTCACCGCCCCAAGTCGAGCCACGATAAAGAAGAAGGATACATCTAATTGTCGTAATATTAATAGTATGAATGCTATTATTGATCTAACTCAAGAAGATGTTATTCAATGCACGACACTCAAAAGAAAACGTGGTCGACCTAAGAGAAATCAAGGAACGACATCAACAAATAAGGGTTGGTGGTTTTACAAAAATATTTCTTTACATGGAAATCTAATTTTATGTTGATGAAGTACTATTTTTTTTTTTTTTAAATATTGGGATATGGGTGATGCAAGCTTGGAATGTCAGTACTGAGGAGCACTGTTCTGGTCTATTGAAAAAAAAGCAAGAGCGAAAAAAAATAGGATACCTGGTTACAGAGGGTGTTGCCAAAATGGCATTGTACAACTTCCAAAGATGAAAAATCCTCCCACGCTTTTAAACGATTTGCTTTTTGGAGATAGTAGAAAAAGCAAGCACTTCCAGGAAAATATTAGATCTTACAATAGCATGTTTGGATTTACGTCGTTTGGTGGAAAGATTGATGGAGCTATTAACAGGGGCACTGGACCACCTATATTTTCATTGCATGGACAAAACTATCATCTAATGGGTAGTTTGCTTCCATCAGATGGTTCGAGTCCGAAGTTTGCACAACTGTATATATATGATACTGAAAATGAGATTTCAAATAGAATGAATGCAGTCAGGTATGTATTTAAAATTTATATAATTATATAATGCATATAACAAAGATAATACAAATTATTAAATACTATTATTATTATTTTATGTAGGCAAACAGATGGTGATAACAACTTGGATATGGATATAGTTGTTGGGTTGAAGCGTATGTTAGACCAAAACAACGAGTTGGTTAAGTCATTTCGAATGGCTCGGGACAGAATTAACAACCACGGTCAACATGATGTTAGAATCCGTTTAATTGGAAAAAGACACCATGATGCAAGACGATATAATCTTCCCACCAGCTCTGAAGTTGCTGCTTTGATTGTTGGAGATTTTGACCAGTCTTTGGGTGATAGGGACATAATTATTGAAACTAAGAGTGGTCGTCTTCAACGGATAAACGAACTTAATGCTTCGTATTTGGCACTTCAATATCCTTTGTTATTGTCGTACGGAGAGGATGGTTATATGGAGGATATACCATTTTCTGAATTAAAAGCCGAGAAAGAAAATGGTAGAAAACATGTTAGTTGTCGGGAATATTTTGCATATCGCATACATGATAGGAATTGTGAGCCACCGACAATTTTAGCAGCTCGAAGGTTGTTTCAACAGTTCGTTGTTGATGCTTATACAATGGTGGAAGCACAACGGTTGCGATATATCCGTTTTAATCAGAAAAAACTTCGTTGTGATCTTTATAATGGTCTGGCTGATGCTGTAGTACGTGGCGATACTGATCCTAGCTCACGTGGAAAGCGCATTATACTACCATCTTCGTTCACTGGTGGTCCTAGGAATATGATACAGAATTATCAGGATGCAATGGCCATATGTAGATGGGCAGGATATCCTGATTTGTTTATAACTTTTACCTGCAATCCAAATTGGCCGGAGATTATTCGTTTTCTAGAGCCGAGGAAATTGCGTCCTGAGGACCGGCCGGATATTGTTTGCAGGGTCTTTAGGGCAAAGCTTAAGGCGTTGATAAAGGATTTCCGTGAAAAAAAAATATTTGGCAAGGTTACTGCAGGTAAAAAAAATGTATTTCAATTTTTTAA